GCTGAGCAAGTGGTAGCAGGATAGAGCCCCTGCAGCTCCCCCTGCTGGGGCAGAGGCAGGCACAGCCAGGGGAGCTGGGGGAGAAGCTCCGGTGGCTGCCCTGCCCAGCCCCATCCCTGCCTGGCCACAGCCTCCTGGCACTTTAAAAAAAAGCCCCACAGTCGCTGGCTGCAGAAACAGCGAATGGGGCCTCTGGGCGCTCATGGTAGAGCCTCCCTGTGCAGCATAGGTCAGTGAGGATTGCTCCCCGCCTGGCACCTGTGCGGCAGCTGCCCCGTAGCTTGTCAGGGCACTGAGCACTGTCTGGGAGCTCGGGTTGCTGGGGCTAAGCGGTGCCAGGCTCTAGCTGACCCCAGCTCCCGGACAAATCAAACGGGGAGCTGGGGAATTGAACCAGGGGCTGGGGAATTAAACATGGAGCAGAGGAATTGAACCAGCCAAATCTGTTTTGGAGATTCAGCTCTGCCAAATCTCTTCTGTATCTGTTTCAAACAGCCAGATGGGGCTTGGGGCCCCAGCAGGGAGCAGGACAGGGCCGTGGGTGGCTCGTCTGGGGTACGGGAAGGGCCACTGCCCTCTGTGCAGGTGAGGAGACCCCCATGTAGGTCTCTGATCCCTGGTTGCGTGGCAGGGAATCAGCACAGAGCAAGCGAGCCTGCTGCACAACCTGGTTCTGCAGGGAGCAGAGAGCCACACCGGGGTCTTGTCCCTACTGCTGTCAGCCCCATGCAACCCCAGATTTCTCCTCCCTGCAGAGTCAGGTCATGTGGCAGGGACCAGCACTGCCCTGCCGCACAATTTCGCTCCGCAGGGAGCAGAGATCCACGCTGGGGTTTCCTTGCTGCTGCTGCCCACCGCATGCAGCCCGGCATAACTGGGGCAGCATGGAGTGGGCAGTGGTGGTAAGGAGACCCCCAGCACGAGGAGCTGTCGCATGGCAGGGCAGCAGCACACACCTTCAAAACTCAAAAAATGTCTGAAACATTTCCAAAATGTTTCAGATGCTCATTTTGTTTTGAAGATATTTCTGAGCCTTCTGTTTCAATTCGGATTCAATGTTTCAGGCACCAAAATGACCCAAAACACCTCTAAAATGAAATGGCTGCCAAAATTTCGCACAGTCCTATAATTCAGCTCTGCTTCTGGCATCACACAGCAGCTGCTGCTGCCACAGCACACACGTGTGCAGTTCTCCTGGATCTATGAAGCTGTATTGCAGCAGCTACGCTGCCCAAACACACCTTGGGAATGCATCAGCTAGGGAGGTGACTGTAGCAGTCAGCAGAAGATGCAACCTGAAGTTTTATATTGCTTGGCAGAGGGGCCATAACTTTGCTGGTAGAAAAGGGATCTGCTACCACAGAGAAATTTGTGTGCAGACACACAAAATGTGTGAAACTGTAATGTAGACAAGGTCCTCAGGTCTTATCTAAGCGAGAAAGCATTCCTTGTATAAATTTAGATGCGAGTTTAAACCAATATAGTTATATAGATATAATACTCCTCCCTCCTGCCCACATGTGGACACTTTTATTCTGGTACTAAAAGACCTTTTTGAATTAGTTCATGTTGGTCATAAAGGATTTAAACTAAGCCACCTTCCTTCTCCTTCCCCGCCCACAAAAGCTTTTACAACAGAATAAACTACCCAAATAAAAATTATGCTGGTCTAACTAGTGAAATCTCCCTGTGAGACATGGCCTCATTCACTCATTAGTACTCAGCAGGACTACTCGGAATATAAACTTATGCAGCATGTGAATCTTCTAGAGATTCAGCTTTGCCACTAGTTTATGTTGATTTAGCATATTTTACAGCTGGCTTACCTTGAATGTAATTGTCAAATATACTTAAGCTTGTCCCCTATAATAGTTGGCACAAGTTCACCTAAAAAGATTTAAAGTTATTTTTGGTTTGACTATCTTATTGTTAAGTTTACAACAATGGATTGAGAGCTGTAGAGATACAGGCATCACACTTCAGGGTTAACTCCAAAATTAGTCTTTCCTCACCATATTGACCACAATAACGTGAATGTCACAACTCTGCTAGGACAATTTAATGCTTCAAACATAGCAAACTCCTTTTCTTATCTTTTTTATATAATTAAGACAATTCGTTTTTTTAAACAAACTACATTCAGTTTTAAATATTTTAAAGTTTACCAAAATAAGTTTGATTTCAACAACAAAACTATCTTGGCCACAGCAACCTTATTTTTTACTGTCTTGCACTATATATGTCATTTACATCCATGTCAATATGTGTGAAATGCTGCTAAATCACGAATCCAAGACAATAGACAATATCTATGTGTAGTGTTTTTATTCCTGGTTTATTCACACATGTAACATACGGTATAATAGAACAGAACCTCATGTTAAATATACAGGTTTTGCAATCTGACTGAATGTTGCAACTAGAGTCTCAACTATTTTTTTCTTCCTGTTTGTGCTTCTTATACAGGCAGCCCTGATATTATGTTATATGATTTAAGATCTACCCATACTATGCCTACAAATGCCTAGAGCAGTTTTAAAGGAAAAAATGGTGGCGGTGGGGGGGAGCTCATGCTCTTTCTTCCTCCTTTATGATGTGTAAATATTGATTGACTCATTCTCCCCTCCCTCATCTAGTTCTATTTTCCTGCATTAAAAATATAAGGTTTTGACTTGCCCATTTTTGTTGGAGGGTTGAGGAACTTCAGTCGGATATTGACAATACAATTTAATGACACTGAATTACAGTTTTCTCTGTCCTAAATTGAGAGGGAAAGGCTTGATAAAACTTACAATTCCAGCTTTTTGTAATATCCCTCCCTGTACCAGTTCAGTGCTCTACCAAGAATAGATAAGCCAAAATTGGATACTGCTAAGTGTTTAAAACTAAAAATAGAAGCAGAGAAAAAAGCCCAATTTAAAATACTGACTAAATTTTTAAATTAATGTGTGAAGATAATGTCAAAGGGTGCATCTATATGAGATTTTAATGCCCATTGGACTAATTCTACTGCACATTAGTGCAGCTGAAAAAAATCATGCTAATGTGCTAATGCACAGCAGGTTTGTCCAATGTGCATTAAGCATCACACAAAAAGCGTTCATCTGTGCTAGTGTGTAGTAGCACTGATTACAGTGCATTAAGCTAGTGCCTGTTGTTATAGGTACTAAACTTAATGTGCTGTAATTACAGTGCATTAATGAACATGTAGACATAACCAAAGAGCACTTAAAAGGCACAAACTTTATAATGTTTTCTGTGCAGCTGAGAGTTGGGACCCCATTGGTTAATTTGTGGTCATGTTATTACTATAAAAGATAGACTACATAGCTTCCATGGCATTCCATACTTGAGCAGAGTTATTCATGCATAAGTGTTGCAGGACTGGACTATGGGATTTTGGATCATTGTCTGAAACCAGAAGTCAATATTGCAAAATGTGTACAATAGTATAAATAGTACATTTTGGGATATATCTTTCATTGCTGCAGTTTGTCTATACTGTGGGTCAAGTGAGATACCATTTGCCATTTCCAATTGATACACATGCCATTAATTAAACAGAAGCCAAAAAATCTAATTTGTAGCCAAATGAAAGAGCCATATATGAAATCATATTTCTTTAACATGTCATTTCTTTCTCCCCTATGTTTATGTTTTTTTCTTACTTACCTACCACTCCCATCACTTAAAGTGCTAACTCTGGTGCAGAACACCCTTTCTCAAACTTCTTCTCAATGTGTGGACATGACAAAGTAAATTACTCCAATTAAGCCAGACACAGGAAACATGATTGACTGAGTAACTTATGCTGCCTATACCATGATTAGGATGAGGTGAGTGGGTGATGTAACCCTGATGTCATAGTCTCTCACTAAATACTGTCTTCACAATATCTCCACCCAGTAATATAACACAGTATTTGTATTACTCCCTAGTCTGTGATGTGGAAAACACTCCCTCAGCAATGACTAATTTCCTCTTATTGGTATTGTCTTCCCTTCCTCATTCTTCACCATTTCTTCTCTTTTCTCCTGCCTTTTTCTTTGTTCCCAATTTCTTCCCACAATATTGTCCTTCCTTTGGTTCCGCCTCTTTTATATATCTATAACACATCAATACACACTCCCTCCTTTTGAGTAGTGCTCTGTTCAGCTTGCAGTAAATAGGTTGGAAGTGGGACAGAAATGTACTGCCCATGCTTGAATGTGTATTGCAATTGCAACCACTCTTGTAACCTTGTAGCATACATATCACACAACTGCTTCCCAGTGAGGCACTAGCATTCATAACATTTGTGGCATGGTGCTGGCTATGAGCAATTGCAAATTCTGTGCCATCCTGCACCACTAAAGTGCCAGTATAGACAGCAAAGGCTGATATAGCAGCTGCAATGATATAATTAATCCCTTGGTGAAACTGTGCAATGCTCTAAAGCTGTAGTGTGAGTCTGACAGCTCAAAGCACTGGCTCTGTTATCTGTCAAGCTACTCTCTTATCATCTGCATGCAGACTCAGGGGCATTTACAGTAATAATCATCTGGTCTTTGCTTAACCTAGTCCCTTGCTCCCAAACCTTCAACTCCCAAAGTAGCAACCTAATAATGGTAGTAAGAGCAGTAGAACAGGAGCAGGGAGAAGAGAGAAGAGGATATTTGAAAGAGCAGCAGAGTGGGCAAGGGTGTAGGTTGTAGCCGTGTTGGTCTAAGGACATAGACAGACAAGTTCTTTGAGTGAATCTGATATCTTCTATTAGACCAACTTAAATAGTTGGAAAACAACTATTAAGCAAGCTTTCCGGTTCAAAAACCCTTTGTCAGGCTAAGGAAGTTTCAGCAGTTGATGTGCGCTCTTCCTGGATGGAATGAAAAGTAAAAAAGCCAGAGGGTGGGCTGGTATGCATACAAGATAGGCAGTCAGTGAAAATGTAGATTGAGGAGTCAATGAGTGAGAGACGCTGGGTGTGGGGGAGAGAAGGAGGATGAATAGTGTAGAAGTACCTGGAAAGTCAGCTGTCAGGCAGGTTATAATGTGTCATAAATCCAATGTCTGTATATAGTCCATGATTTTTGGTATCCAGGAGGCTGATGAAGTGGAGTTCATAGGCTCGTCTCTGGGAAGTGTTTTGTGGACAAGAAACTCTGAGAAGAGAAAGAAAGTTAAAGGTGAAAAATAATACTAATTATGCTTGAATGAGGTAGTTTACCATTTGGAGTCTGTTGAGATGATAAAAATATAGGCCTATACAACACATAGGAAGGCTCTGATGATCATATCTTTCAGTCCTTATTGTGAAGCTAAGTATTTTCTAAAATCAGCTTCTCAACCTTACACACGTTACGTGTGACACGTATAACCGCTGACTGCCTAAGGATGTCAACAATGTGTGTGAGAAAAGTACAATGTCCAGCATTTCTAGGGCCAAATTTTGAAGCTCTTTCTTAGTTTTTACTTAGTTTTACTGAAGCCAATAAAAAATGTGTCCTGTGTAAACTGAACACAAACTCCATATGCACCTAATAATTTGCCTGGAATTTACATGTCTGTAGATACATAAAAATGTATGTAGATACATTTCTGTATGTCTGTCAGATCTGTCATTTGACTCTGAACTGATTGTCTTGGGGTTTGACCTGGATCAAACAGAAGTGGCAGTCATCTACACATCACCCTTCCAAGCTGCATTGATGCTCCTTTGCCAGTGTGTAGCCAGCAAGAGTATGCAGCCTAACAGGCTTGTCACTAGAATGAACTGCAATAACTGTACATATGTATAACAGGATGTCTCAGGGAAAAGTGTTAGTACATCTGGCATACTTCAGAGGGACTTGAAGCAGGACAGCAGACATCTCTGTCTGTACGATCTCAGCATAAAAGGCTTTCTCCTGGGACAACTGTGATGTCTATTCATATCCCATGAGTATCACAATAACACTTCATCAATTTTTCTTTTAAAAACCAAGCTGCATTTGGACAAAAGCACACTTATCAAGAACGATAATAAATACAAATATCTCAAACTCCTTTAATCCCCGAGTTCACAGGCAGATCAAGTACTTCAGAAAGTATGATTCTGTTCTGACAAGTGCCTGTGCAAAGACATTCCTCTTCTTCAGATCTGATTCTCTCTCTAGTCAAAGTCCTATGTGTTTACCTTAGTAATGAAAACAATGTTTATATTGCATTGTAGTCCTACTAAGTTAAAACTGACCATGCTTAACTTATTGCATATGAGTAGCCTTCCTGTGATCAATCAAACTTTATGTTTGTGTCTGTAGGATCAGAACCATAGCAAAGAGGCAGTTAGGTGAATTCTACCAGTTCCTGTCATCACCAGAAGTGCTTACTTGCTAAATTTCAGTTTCAGAATCAGTTAGTTATAATTCTGCCAACTGTGATAACCAGCCACAGAAACTGAAGACAGCATGGGGTTAAAGATACTGCTTGATGTCTGATTAGGCCCACAGAGACTTCATTACTGATGACAATAAGTAAGTACAAGAACTAGTTAGAATTAAAGCCCCCACATCAAGCTTATGCATTGCAGCTACCCCCATTCTTTAAGTTATACATTTAAGCATACTTTATATGGCTGGCACTGGTACCATTTCAACAGGGGCTCTCATAATGCATATACAGAATCATGGGGGTGTAACTTATCACAGCAACATTGATTTCAGTGCAGCTACCACATGTAACAAAAATTCAGGAGCCAACCCAACATTTCCAAGGAATTAGTAAATCCTTATATTTTATGTAGACCAAAATAGTAGATAGACTCAGGTCAGCACATTTTGGCCATCACCAATACAAATTAGCTTTCAGCTTTGATTTATGGAGTATTTAAGGCAAGATTTGAATGAAGATAATGGATATACTACCACATTTGTTCTGCTCTATAATGAAAAAATTATTACAGCTTACCTATCACAGCTTTTGGAGCTATTCCTCAGTAATACTAAGCTTTAGTTCTGCATATATAATGAAACCGGTGTTTACAAAAGTTACCATAGAAACGGTATCCCTAGCCACTGCTGGCTGTTAGATTTATTGTTCTCATTATCTATTAAGCAATAAGGTAAAAAGATATGGGTGCTGAAAGACAATCATGCTCTTGAGGATATAAGAAGGAAATGCAGTAACAGTGTTCTTTCAATTCGTAATAACTATTGTCTTAATATATGTACTTACATTTCAAAACAGAATTCATTTCCCCTTAACAAAATTAACATGAACAAGGCCGCATATAAAATATAAACAATGCTTAAAGAGTATGGGTATTTTAATAAAAGGCAGTGTCTGCCTCATGCTTTACATACTTTGTTTTATTTTTAATAGAAATAAAACTCCTTTCGACAAATAGGACTTAGGAAAAGCTCCTGAAGAAGGTATGTGCTTAGGCCTTGATCCTACAAGTATTGGCACATGGACTTAACTTTTGTGCATCACAGGGCCTGTTGAAGTCAGCAAGACTACTTCCACACGCAGGGAAAACGAAAGTGAAATAGATTAATGTATTTTAATTGATTGAAAGGAAAACAAAAGTAAATAGCAAAAACAATAAACATGCCATTGCATTTTTTTATTCACGATCTCAAATGTAGAGTAGACAGAGTAGGTAATCATTGTTATTTTTAAAAACTTTACTCTTCATCAATTATTGCATGTTCTTATTTAAATAAATAAAAATTCCTCTGATTTAAGTTGTGGTCAAAGGGAGTCATTTTTTAAATTTAAAATGCCCTTAAGTTTGTGCAGAGAATCCCTGTTGGCACTGTACCTCTCACCATTGCTCTCTTTTAATGTTCTGTGAGGCTTGGTTTTGAATGACCAGTCCACCTTAACAGCCTATCTTAAAAAATATGGGACGTTAGCAGCCATCTTAAAGGGTCACTGTCAGCTTGAATGTAACATTTTTGCCTGAAAATACTGTATCAACTCCAATTACTAACACTGGCCAGGAATTTTCCAGTGACACAGATGTTTGTTGAAAAGTGCTGATTGGAAAAGCTGAAATGTTTATATGAGAGTGCATGTTTCAGTAAACTCCTGACAAGACACAGGAACTTTGCCTGCTTTCCTGCCAGCTCACCCAGGAGGCCCACAACTATGGGGCAGCTCTCTCAGGTAGACTGGGCTTTCCGTGTTACTAGTGGTAGGAACAAGGAAAATGCTGGGTGCTCTGGCTTTGGCTGCTGGCTCTGCAGCAGAGAGACTGGCATTTCTGAGGCCCCTGGTTTGAACCAGGGCTCTCACAGATTCCAGGTTTCTTTTCAGTCCAAGGATCCCAGTCCCTGAAGTCTCATGATCCAGCTGTAGTCCCCAAAGCTTAATGCCTCCTACCTCCCCATCTGTTTACTGGGACTCACCAGGCCTTGAGAGCCACTGCTGACCTGGCGACTTTGGAACTGGCCACTATGACATCATGATGTCTCTTCCAGCCCTAATTTCCTATGATCCTTCTTAGGATTGTTAACAATGGGAGACAATCGCTTAGTTACGTAAAAAGAATTCAGCCCATTCTCCCCAGTATTAAAGCATTTGCTATTTGGACCAAAAATACATTTTCTGAGAATTTAAAAGTAAATCAATTAATTACTTTGAGTTGCAATTAATTTTCAAATGTGTCCTTTTAAAAAGGTAGCACCTGGAGTCACACTTGTTTGTTGTCAGGAATGATCTCAATACACAACTCGTCAGACTTGCCACATGATTAAAACTCACTAGTATTTCTTGCCTTAGCAGCATTTGAAATCCTCTTTTCTCTGAAAAATCAGTATTCAGAAACAGAAAAAAAAATCCAAATACTATCCAGTATGAAAATGCAGAGTTAGGGCAACTAAGCAACCTTGACTCTGTCCTCAAGCATTCTTGACTATGCCCTACAGGGAGGCCATGAGGGGAAAACAAAACTGATATGTGTTTAAGAGCAGTTTTATAACCCAGGACTCTAATCTTATACTAGTAGTAATTATATAGCTGTTGCTTGATAATGTCAGATGGTAAAGTTAAGGTGCTCAATTGCTTTAATTGTATGTTGCTATGCCCAAATTCCTTTTCAAGTTACCCTTATTTCTGTATGTCCTGAATTTACTACGCTTGTTGACAGGGGCAGATCCAGGGGGTTGCAGTAGTGCAGTTAGACCCCCACTTTGATTCCTGCTGTTCCCAAACTTTAAAGCCAATGACCTGGGCAGCAGGGAGGGGACTTCATGCCTTATTATCATCTCCCCAATTCCTGCTAATTTCTACTCACTCCACAGGTGTTAATAAAACCCTCTATCCTCTTCAATGATCATGTTCCACAATTCAAACCATCCTTTTTTCTGCAATTTTGCTTTCTTTTAGCCATTCCTGGTAATGTCTCTCTTCTGTTTCACGGCTGAGCAGAACTGTATTCAGTGCTAGCTAAAATCTTTATCTCAGGTGTAGTAATATTAATTCAGAAGTAGAAACCACTGAGTGTGTCTACACAAGACTGTTTACTGCGGAGCTGCCTAGTTAGCTCCACAATAAATGTCTCAGTGTCTACATCTGCAGTGCTATTAGGTAGGAATAAGCTAACTGTGCAGCACCCTTGTGCCTCAGCCAGTCCCTCGAGAGCAGGTTGAGCTGGGTAGAAGCAGCTTCAGGCTGGCAAGCTGACCCCCCCCCCAGCTCCCTCCCAACTGGGGCTGCTCCTACCCAGCTCAACGTGCTGCAGTCCTGGGCCCAGGAGCAATGTGTGCTGGGCCTGGCAGGATGTATGCTGGAGTTAATTGCACATGTAAATATGCCTCAGCCAAGGCTTTGTGTACCCAGGTCTTAAAAACCTCCAAGGATGAAGCTTCCACCACCTCTCCGGGGTCACCTGTTCCAGTGTTTTACTACCCTCATCTGCACTGGTGACGTGTAGGGGGTACATGGGGGACAGTGCTGGTGTACCCTGACAGGTCACACTCCCTGCTTAGGCAACAGGCGGGGGGGCAGGCAGGAGTGCTGTGAGCATCGGCCTGGGAATGGGAGCATCAGGTGAAGTGCCACAGCCACTTCCGGGAGTGT